CGGAAAGTTGTGTAATACGGCTGGGTATTTTTACGAGTCAGTTTTTATTTTTTCGAGCCTTTAGGCGAGAAAAAATAAACATTGACGAGTTGAAAAATGCCCAGCCGTATTACACAACTTTCCGCTGAATAAATTGTTTATTATATGACATAATTCTTTCCTAAAATATAGGCTTTCAACTGTGTTTTCCGTAGCGATCGGTCAGGGGGACTAAGACGAGTGTAATACGGTCTCATATTTGCACTCGTTTTAGTGCGTGTTCGCGCTCTAAAATGCTATGTCGTATAATAATAGTGCAATATCACCTTTCTTTCAGGATAGGAAAAATTTAAGACCCAAATAATCCAAAAATCAGTTTCAAAGAGTGCACGTCAAAACGCTTATCAATTGACGTATTCTAAGGGCATATTTCCTTTTGAACAAATTTGTTAATATCAACGCAATTCCGTCTTGGAATAAATTGTAAATATTAGTTTCTTTGACAAATTAATTATCGTAACTGTTTTTGTTCATTCAATTTAGATAATTTGATGTTATTAGATGTCGGAACTTCATACAAAACTATTTTGTGGTTTACAACTAATCGGTGTCAAAAAAAATAAAGTCTTTATTGGAAATAGTAATATTTTAATTGATTTATTTGACACCAATATCGCATTTGTTGACTGCGTTAACTTGCTTCGGGTTTGGTTAATTTCCCTCCTGAGAAATCGAATCATGATGAGCCAGAAATTTTAATTTAGTTTCTCCAGATTTTATCATAAACTAATTATTTCAACAAATTTGGATCAGTACTCATGAATTAAGGACTTTTTAGTCTTATAGTACACTCAACAAAATTACTCGATTCTGATTGGTTGAGAGCAATATAATAAATTGTACTCCGTAGGAGTATCTATTATGTTTATATTGCAACAGCGTGTCTTACGCGGTCAACTCGGCGTCAAATTTGAAAACGAAAAAAGCGTTTATGTATTTATTTAATGGTTTTACTTTGGAATGTTTACTTAATGTTTTATTTTAAGCAAATAAAGAGTTCAACGGTTTATGCCGAAGACGCCAGTCCAGGGAGACGCGAAATTAGATTTGCGATCGTCACGAGTTCTTTTTCTTTTTTTTAATTTTTTTCGTGTATTTTACGTTTGAGACAAGAGAGGTTGAGCTAAGAGAAGGATTCCCCGTGCCCCATAATAATTTTTTTAATCTATTAATAGTTTCGCGCGTTATTCAATGATCAAACATCAATTATATCTTTCATGTATGTATTGCAAGTATTAATTTTGTGCCGGAGTTCAAACACGATCAATTCACTCCTCAGTTTGGCGTCTGATGAAAATTGAACGTCATTGATAACTTATTTTTTTAAGTGCAGATATTGCTGTTTGAACTTCCAGAGATAACAAATTTGTAAATTTCATCCAAACAATTGCATCAAATGCCCGGTAAACAAACCTCGTCGGTCGAAAGTTCACGCATGCTCAAATAGCGATTTTGGCGAATTTCTACTCTATGACGTATATTGTAGGGCAAAATATGAAACTTCTCGAGTTTCCTTCGGTGAAAGTTCGTAATAATTTTTTTAATCTATTAATAGTTTCGCGCGTTATTTTTATTTCCTTATAATCGAGGCTCCGATGTCACGTTACTCGAAGTATAAACTAATCAAGTATCGCTCTTAGAATAGCTCAGCTATGGACTGAAATTTAAAAATAGCCTTCAAAAATTATCATTGGAAGAGATCCATGTATGGTGGGAGAATGCTTCTCTCAGTTCATCCTGTCTTGATTTAAAATGCCAATTCAAGAAGGAAAAATCCACCTACCTCAAAAGTTGTCGAAATTGTCTGCATTATGATGGCAAAGAAAAATATTTGACCTCGGCGTCTACTACAAAACAGTCTCTAATTTTCTCTCGAGGTATACGGTTTGCTATCTGCTATAATTGTTCTAGTGACTGAGCTACGAGGCTAAACGGGAGCAAGTCGTGGGTGGAATATACAGCTGTTTCGAGAAAGGTTGTCGGAAAAGAGCGCACGCGACAATCCCGAAAGGTAATCTGGGATATGATCAATGAATTTAATAAGTCAAATAAATACATCAAACCCGCGATGCCTACTTTTGTTGCTTTCTTTTAGCACTCGCAAACGTAAGTCCATGGCGTCTCTTGCCATTTTCTCAGATTTCCCTGAAGTGCTGAAGTCAAGCCGTGAACTTAAACTACCCACAATAACTTTCGGGATTGTCGCGTGCGCTTTTTCCGACAACCTTTCTCGAAACAGCTGTATGTTAAATGTCAGCGCAACCTCGTTCCCAGGGTCTACTCCGCTTTCAAGATGGCGCCCAGCCGCCATCTTGAAAGCGGAGTAGACCCTGGAACGAGGTTGATGTCAGCGGACAAATGAATGATTATGCAGCCATATAGCACTTGTAGCTAGTATACATGAAAAAATGATATATGAGTGTAAATTGCAGTGTGTTATCAATAAGCGTACGTTAGCCCCTTAAACATCTTTCACGCCCAGAGTCAATAAATGTGGTTGTACCTTTTAAGTCTGTGGAGGAAACCCATGTGTACCACCATTCCTAAAATGAAAGCTGTTGAGCATTACCTTCAAGTGGTACTGTCAGGTTTAATTTATGCCTTTTGAGTCTGTGGCGTGCGACCAATCAAATGAAAGCTATCGAGCAGTACTTTCTGTTTGTTACGCTGTACAAGGTGGTTCTAAATTTTGAGTCTGTGGATGAAACCCAAATGAAAGCTATTGAGAATACTTTCAAGTAGTGCTGTTTGTTTTGACAATTTTGCAAAATGAAATTCAAGATTTTTCCTCAGTTTTGAACTAAGCACTCTAGGGAGTAAGTAAACCCTCGAGTGTTTTTTTTACCTTACTAGGGCCTTATTAACTCCAGTACGAATTTAAAGGGATAAAGCTCAATAAAGAGATCAATTATTTTAGTATGCATCAGAGCCATATAAGATAATTTAATGCACCTTCTTCCTGTCACTTATCAGGTGTTAAAATTTCATAAAAGGAGAAGCTCACACAGTTTTTTTGAACAAATTCTTGGATAACATATATTGATGAACATTTAAAGAGAATTACTCACGAAATTCATTAATGCCGTGTCATTTTTAGTTCAATTAATTTTTTTTATTTTTTTCTTAATGAACGATATAAAATTTCCATAAAGCTCTTCCGGATGATAATTATGAGCAATAAATGTTTGGTCAGCAAATGCTTCAAATTTGCTCTACGTTTTTCTTTTTTATTTCAACGGCAACATAATCAATGGTTGAAAAACTTACAGAAGGGCTTCGTAAATTTATAATCTTAAAAGAACAAACAAACAAACGTAATATTTAATCGCTTACCGCAATATTGAGCTAGCAAGCAAAATAGAAAAGAAAACTTCCTCTGCTCGCCAATTAGAGACCTATAGATCCAAGTTTACCGCTAGCCTCAAACGGCAGTTTAATATTTACCGTCAGAAGTTAAGAGTAATTTGTCCATTTAGATACAAGTAAATTTACCAGAGTAAAAGGGGCAATATGGCGGCTGCTAGAAGGTTGGTGTTTCAAATAATGATAAAAAGCACAATATTTGTACATTGGTCTTAAAATTCACATCACTTGTAGCTAAAGGTTTCTTTCGTTTAACTGCCGCATACATACATGAGATAACGTAAAATGTAGACAGAGAAAAGGGGAAGCATTTAAGCGGTAGTAATCAAGCTCTTATTCACATAATTACTTCCTTTTTGCTGTTCCCTCGTTTCCCCATTCTTTTGAAAAACTGGTGTTATTATTTTGTAAGAGGAACGTAGGATCGTCGTTTCCTCTCAAACGTGTCAGTTAATTTGGTGCATTGAAAATAATTCAAATCACTCACTTTGCAAGAAACCAGCTGCGCTTTGACATGGTACGATCTTGTAACCTTAGCAAAGTTTATTAACCCTTTTTGTAAATGAGATAATTACTGATAATTATCTGTTGATGCCACTTTTATTGAGCTTTGTGATATAGTGACGAACGCGCGTGTTTCAGTGGCTTATTAAACTGCGTGTCAAAACAATATATATTAATTTAACTGGTCTGCCAAAGATTTCCATTTTTCAGGCGTGGAAATAACCATTTTCCACGAGAACTCGACAAACGGAAATTGGTTCAGAGTGGGCTGGTTAACATTCGGTCTTTAATAAAACGTTAAAAACTTTCATTAAAGATTTAAAAAAACACCAAAACAAGTTTGCTACGAAAAAATAACACTTACACTTGGAAGTCCTATAATCGCCTCAGATATTCGGATTAAAGTTTCGAGTTTTCTTTAGGGAAATATAATCTCGAACTTTCTTAATATGGGAAATTTAATGCCTATTATTTTCGGAGATAAAAATTTTGTTTTGGAAAAAAAGGTCAGCTAGAATTTTCGGAAAGGAAAAAAGGTCAGCTAGGATTTTCGGAAAGGAAAAATCAGCAAGGAAGAGCTGAGGTTTTCGGGAAATGACTAAAAAATCCCTGATAAATTCGTGAAGTCTAAAGTTCCCTAGAATGACCGAACAGATATAAATTTTATAGCGCAGCTTAGAATTCATTTATAGATCTTTAAAAGCACACCAGACAGCCTAAAATAGTGTTTTAAAGCATTTGGGAGAAAACCGTCGTTGGGTGCCCCTGATGATAACAGACCGAAATGGACTTCACGCAGTCCTCATTATTACCAAAATCAAACCCACACAGATTAATCAAACATGAACTTAGGGTTTCTGTTTTTTTTACTAAGTAGCATGCGCGCGTCATTAACAATATTTAAAGTGGCACACACACCTAGACTAAAATCAATAAGGTTTTTCACACAGTTAAAAAAACATTTTAAATAAAGAAGAAATAAATAAACCATCATTTCTTTCCACACATTCTCACTCATCGACAAATCTAATCCTAGCAGTATGCGGGATGTTGGTCACATTTGAACATAGTTATATGGCCTTAGCTCCCACGAGTCTCCTGTAGCTCAGCGGTAGAGCGTCCGACCAATGTGCGGAAGCCAGTCATAAGTAGTCTACTCCTGTTGGGGGAATTCGGAATTTTTTTCCCGAGTGGCTTGTGTCACTAACTGAATAATATATTTCTCATATTTCTACTAAGATATACCAAAATATACCATCATTTATTTCCAAAGAAAGAGAATTTTCCAAGCGTTCTTCGTAATTCCGTTCATTTTAATACTTTTCAGTTTTATCCCTCATTTTAGGTTAAGGCGTTGTTTCTCCCTAACCTACGAACAAATCTGAATACGTAAAGGATAAATATTTTCAATTTATATGTAATTTTTGCATAAGCTATATGTTTTGCTTGAAGATAGTGCATGATCAGCGCCTGAAGGAAGTGGACAGTTTCTACAAGATTTTTTCGTTTTTTCGTGATGTTCGGCGTTCTATTGAGATTGCAGTTTTGATTCGTGCTATTCCTAAATTAATTAATCAGTTTTCTGTACATAAAAGACAAAAGACAAATTGGAAAACTGAAAAACAATTTCAATAACCTTAATGTACTGGTTGATGTCTAAAATGACCTGTCTAGTTTTAAAGCATAAACTGCAGACACCTTCAAGAGCAGAAATCATGAACCAGATTTTAGATAAGTCATTAAGGAAGGGGAAATGGACCTTCTCGGCTGATGTTAAAGAAGGAAAATAATTGCAAATTAACAAAATATTTCCGCACCGGAGGAAATTCAAAGAACTGCTAATGACTTCCCAATTAAACATCCTTTTACGTGGAAAACACACTGCTTTCTAGAATATATTTCCACCAAGCATATGTTTCATGTAAAACGTTTTTCTCATCCATAAATACGGTGAACATTTTCATAATTTGAGTCTTTTTACGAAAACATATCTATTTGTTCGAAAAAAGTGCAGTATTGTAAAAGTTTGCTTTTAAATTACCGCCGATTCACATTAAAACCTAATTCAATCAAACAATATTTAACACATTTCACTCCCACTAAATGAAATACCGTCACTTAAGGCCTTTTCGTGCGTTAATTCCGTTGTGGGTTGCATATGTTGCTAATTGCGTCTTTTCTGTTTCGCTCACGGGAGAGAACATCATTACTTTATAAAAAAAAGAACAAGGAAGCCGCTCTATTCTTTGCTGCTACAACAATCTCGTCAAGCCCCATTCATATTTTATTAGCGGGTTTATCCTGTTATCGCATCGCCCTCATTCGTATTGACCCGCGCGTTGCTATTCACCGGAAAACGCCTGATCACTGATCAATATAAAAGCGGTGCAACTGAGGAGCAGAAGTTCACAACAGAATAGCAGTAGCAGTAGACAACAGTCTTGTCCACAGTAGCTTCTTCTCAAAATGACTTCAAGATTCACCGCCGTTTTTCTTCTGGTTCTTGTCGCTGTCTCCATGTTTCCTCAAGCGGACTCTTTTACAGCCGGAGCAGGGAATATCGGCAAACGAGGAGAACATGATACCGCCCAGGTAACATAACAACCCTTTTTGCCTTTTTCAGTATTTTCCATACACCTCCTGTTTCGTTAAAAATAAGGTCTTTTATATTATCTCGCATTCCGGCCAAGTGTGAAACTTCACAAATACATGTCTTAAACACATTGCCTCAAAGTATAATTTTCACACATTAACGGCTCTAAGAAAAATCTTTTAAAACCTGATTTTTTTTGCTTGTAACGTAGGCTTTTAACAAACAGTTCATATATTGAACGTTTTCAGTCTGTTTTCTCACTTATGAACGCTTACAACTCTTTATTTTGCCGTTGTAACGGGGTGACAGAGTAAAGTGTTTTTATCACTTTTTCCATAGCTGGATTTTCTCTTTAATATCGTTAAAAACTAATTTAAAATAGTAACGTTTTTAGGTGATTGTCTCTTCAAAGTATTTGGATGATTTAGGTAATGGCGAAAACTTCATGGTATTTAGTTTGAAAGATTACCTCGCCCATAGCGTTTGAGATTATATATATAGATTGCCTAAAAATCTTTCAAAAATTGACCTATTGGTCGTTCCTTTAGAAGTCTTCATCTCTATGATTAACCCGTCATCACCACACCCATTTAATACAAACAAGTTTTTTCACGTTTAACCGGTTGCATTTTTTCTTTCGCCCAATCTTTTGTTTCAGTACATGTCGTCTTGATATCTGCTAATGATTTTAATCAATAAAAGAAAAAGGTTTAATAACATCGATAAAAACATCAATTTAACTCTATGAAAAGAACAGAAAATAATCGAGAAATAACGCTCATAATAATTATAGTCAATATTTCAAAAAATTACAGAACATTGCATGCGTCTTCTGATCTTTCAACGGTATTCATAGTTTTCTCTTCGGAACTATTAAATTAAAACTTTTAAATCACACTGAATTTAAAAAAATTCCAAAATAAAGATCTGTGTTTACATAAGATTAATGCAGGTCACTGATATCTATATATTTTTTAAACACAGCTTAGTAGGATCAATAGTGGTTTTTTCATAATTTTTGATGACTTGAAATCTCTTAAAATTTGCTAAATTATCGTAGCAGGTAAACTCAAGAATAGAGTTAACTCAAGAATAAATTAATAGCACCTCTATCACGTACATGGAAAATCATCACTCCCAAACAGATTTTGCTAATTCCGAAAATAACGATATCGTGTAAAACTATTTACTTCTCTGACTATTCGAATTATTTATTTAAATTCCCATCCCTTACTTTTACTCAATTATTTAAATTTACGCAATTTAATTTTACAAGTCTTCAGTATTTTCTTCAGTCAGCAATAAATGTTAAGCTATAGCAAAACCCTCAAATTTACTACCATTTTTTAAAATTTTATTTCAAACGGCAGCGAACCAAAAAAAGGGTCTCTAAAAGAACAAACAAATAAGCCAGTAGGCATAAAAACTGATTATCGTTTACTACATGTGCTGGCGAGAAAGAAAGAAAAGGAAAAAAGACTCTCTTTTCTCGAGATTAAGTAAATTTCGTGGCATTTATTTTCGACAAGGCGCCTTTTGAATTGGGAGGAAGAAAAAACAATTTAACGGTAGTAGCAATCAAGCTCTTATTCACTTAACAGTTCTTTGTTGTTCCCTCGTTTTCTCATTCTTTTGGCAAAACTGGTGTTATTATTTTACACGAGGAACGGAGTTGACCGCCACATTTCCTCTCAAACGTGTCAGTTAATTTGGATCATTCAAAATAATTCAATTCACTATGCCGGGCGCCAGCTGCGCTGTGACATGGTATGATTGTAACCTTTATTAACCCTCTTTGTGTGCAAAGAAAGAGTTAATTACTGATAATTTTCTATTGATGCAACTCAGTTTTTTAAAGCTTTGTGATAGAGTGACGAGCGCGTGTGTCAGTTAATTTGCTTGTTGTTATCATGACATGTATGATTTAATTGGTCCTTCGAGCCGGATCTCCATCAGTTTCAGGTGAAGAAAAAAACATATTCCACGAGAGATCGACGCACGGAAATTGCTCTAGAGGGTGCTGGTTACTTACGGTCTTTGAAACTTAATAAAATAATTACAGAACAAAAACGCACGAGACAAAGTTATGCTTACTATTAAAACGACAAAATTAGAAGCATTAAACCACAAGAGTGTAATAAGTCTTAAATAAATACACTGGAAGAGTAGTACATTAACATTTAGGTAGGCGTTTTGTTTTCGACAGAGTAGCATGTGTAATAACGAGGCAAAGTTTTCCACACAGCGAAATCTATAATTTAGAAACTGACAAATGTTTCCAGAATCATGTTCGCGCAATATTCCGTGGAATAATTTTAAGCGCACATTTTAGGTTAAGGTCTTGTTGCTCCCTACAATCAAATGTAAATAAGTAAAAAAAAAAGTATTTAGCTTTCGCATAACCTATTTGTTTGTATGAATGTACACTTCAAACGTGACACCGAAACCGAAACCTGTGAGTGCCTTTATCGAAGAAAGCGCAAGTTCTACAATAATTCCTTCGTTTTTCTGTGCGATTTTCGGCATTACATTAGCATTGTACTGTTATTTAGTAGATATTAGTTTTCGCGCTATACCTGAATTAATCCGAGTAATCCCACTATATATATACGACAAGCTGGAAAACTGAAAAACAATTGTAAAGTAACCTTTAATACTGCGGTGATAACTAAAAACGACGTGCGTGGGAAGTGTGGACAGTTTCAAGAGCAGAAATCGTGGCCCAGATGAATTTACGATAATGAGTCATTAGGAAGAGAAATTGGACTTCCTTTCTGATGTCTAGGAGGGAAAATAATTGCAAATTGACTTAAAATTTCCTCGCCGGAGGAAACTCAAAGAACTGCTAATGACCGTAAGATAAAGTAATATTTTTACACCGCTTTCTAGTAAACCATTCATTTCTACCAAAGGCTAAGCTTCCATGTGAAACATTTTTCTAAACTGGAACGTTTCGTAATATCTAACTGTCTGCACTGAAAATATATGGTCTTCCAAAACTGAATTTAAATAAAATTTAATATTTGCAATATCGTGAGCACTATTGTATAAGTTTACTTTTAAATTAATATTACCGGCGATTCACATTAAAAACCTAATTCACTCAAAAAAACACAGACGGATATTTGACATATTCACTCTCACTAAATGAAATAACGTCACTTATCGGTGCAACTGCGGTGCAACTGAGGAGCAGAAGTTCACAACAGAATAGCAGCAGCAGTAGACAACAGTCTTGTCCACAGTAGCTTCATCTCAAAATGACTTCAAGATTCACCGCCGTTTTTCTTCTGGTTCTTGTCGCTGTCTCCATGTTTTCTCAAGCGGACTCTTTAGCAGGGAATATCGGCGGCAAACGAGGAGAACATGATAGCGCCCAGGTAAAATAACAACCCTTTTTGTCTTTTTCAGTATTTTCCATACACCAGTTTTATAGGAATTTATATTATCTCGCATTCCAAGTGCGAAACTTCACAAATGCATTTATCAGCCTAAAGTATATAATTTTCACACATTAAGACTCTAAGAAAAATCTATAAAAATCTGATTTTTTGCTTATATAGACAGATGCTTTCAAA